CATTTATTTGAAAAGTTCGAAAAGTACATGAAAAAGTTTTACAAAATTCTGCTAAAATTGCTGATACGTTGCATATACATCAAAGCTCTATTCAATGTATTGCCGATCCGTTAAGTGGTCCAATGATAAATTCAATAAAATGTCTTAAGCTGGTAAGCGGCAGAACTTTGGAAAGTAATTCCGGTCGGGCTCTTTGTGACCTAAGCTCGAGGGAGAAAAAGAGAAGAATGGAAAGGAGAAAAAAGTTACGAGCATCGAAAGTTAATATTGGAAACAGAAAACTGTCCTCCTTTCTGTTTGTAAATTGGCGTACTTAGAATTGAGTGCGAGTTATGGTGCAGTTGTTGAAAGTTCTGGATGTTGGCAATTTTTCGTCGGAACAGAAAAAAAAACTGAAGGAAGAGAATAGGTGGGATGGGAGGATGGGGTGGTTTTGGTAGGAAAGTAAGAAAGGAGCAGAACAGCGGACAGATCCATTCGCTCAAGATGAATAGGAATTTCTGCACATCCTCCCGGTGTCCTGCACATCTCCCCGAACCAGAGACGGCGTGTGTATTTTAAACAGCCCGCCGTTCCGCGTTGTCACCTGCAGATTACTTTATCTGCCGTTTCGGAAAGTTGAACAACAGTTTTATTGTCCCGAGAAACTCCCTTCATCCAACGAAGAGAGAAAATAGATTTCCCGACCGTCGTGAAAAACAAACTGTAGCGTGAAAAAAAAAACTATATATAGAAAGAAGAATTGAAGGATGCGAAGTGCTTGAAACATTTTCTTTTTTTCGTTAATAGCCTTTGCGAGTCGCAGTTTGATGGGTCTTAAAACCGCCGGAAGATTAAAGCCGGATTAAGATGTTTTTCAAACTGTCGGCGAGATAATTAATTTGCGCGAATTCGAATTAGTAAGGAAAAGATCTATCTATTTTTTATGTAATGGGCTTTGAATTGAACCCAAAAGGAAATCAATTAGTTTGTAGACTTAAGCTTAAGTAGTTACGTATTTTATGCAATTAATTTTCTGAAAGGCTGATTACATTTGCATTGATCGGCTTTTATTGAACTGAAAGATATATATTAATTAGTGTTTTATCTTTTAAATAAAATAAATATTTCCACAGCTTCGTCAAGCTACTTGATAGTTCGTCAAACTTCTATATCAGATTTTTACAATTCATTTGGTGAGCGGACCAAACAGAACTCACCAGTACAGAACGTGACATATTAGGACAGATTAAAATAGAACTACATAAAAGATAACAGGACAAAACAAAACTGCGACAAAATAGAATAGTTCTAAAGAGAACAGAATGAAAACAGGACAACGGAAAATAATATTGATTAAAATTCCAATAACTTTAACCTTACTAAATAGCTTTACCAATATCAATATCGAAATAAATTTGTCTAGATCTACGTGTATAATATTCACTGTATTTCGATAATAAAATACTTATAAAAACTACTAAAGCATAATGAGTTTTTTTTCCATAAGTAGAATATTTTGAGGATAGTTTGTATGAATGAAATATTTGTAATTAAAAGGTTACATAATTGTACAATATCCCATATTATTCAATAACATGTGAAGTTTCATTGGCTAATTGCTACATGTACCAACATAAATAAATGCATGTCACTGTTACTGCCGTTTTGGTAATTATTTTTTGTGAGATATACGATTATCATCGTACATATGACAATATTTATTTCTTGCATAATCTGGATGTAGTATAAACTTGCATGATTTCATGATGGCAAATACATCAAGGTAGAGACACCTATCGGCGCGATCGTACATAATACAGACACTCGTATCTCCATAATTGTAATAGAAGAGACGAAAACAAAAACCTGTTGTTTATTTTCCGGTCAACGCTGATCCCGTTTATTTTCTTCGGTGCTCCTGGGGGGATCGCAGAAGCTGGCAGGCCGTGAAATTGCTCAGTGTATTTATGCACCATACACGCGCAAGAGGGGAATCCCCGGTAACGACGCCTCCGCAGGACGCGTTGCGAATTTTTAACGAGACTTGCAATTAACCGCAAAATTACGTTTTTTTTCATCCCATTCTCTAGCTCTGCATACCCCCCATGTCTCTTCATTTCTAGACCGAACGCGTCCGAATGCCGCACTGCAACCCCCCTAATGGGGCGCCCAAGCCGCACATAAAATTTTCGATTTTAAATGAATCGTCGCGTCCCACCGCGACACGGAATTCCAATTAGGACTCTTTAATTTTACCGTTTCCTTCGCTTCCGTTCTTTTATTTTCTGGCTTTCGCAGTTGACAACGCCTTTTACCAAATTACCATTATATATGTTAAAATACCTATTAAAAAAAAAGAAAAGTGAGTGAAGAATAAACTGCGTCTCAGAAAAATCTCAATCTTTCTCTCGGATGGATGGAAATCTCGTACATCTTTTTCATATTTTTTGTGTCGTCCCGCCCGTCCCGAAATGATAACTCGCGCGTTAATGATGTATAACTCAGGCGCCAGACTAGTCTGCATATATCATATATCAAACATACATTACGGACGCATAAATCCACGCCCCGTCCCTAAAGCGAAAACATTCATAAATGCCTTAAAATCCTGTTTATAAATATTGCCGCAGATAAATCACCGTCCCCAGAAAGCTTCCAAAAACCCTCGCGGCACCGAAATCTCGCGACGGCGACGGCAAGGATCGTTACCGGCGCGATTGAAATCTTACTAATTTTTAATGCTAGCTTTGGTGGATGCGCCTGGATAAAATTCCTCCACCCTACGAAACGCCTCCGAACGCTTGCCTTTTCTTATTCAAATATTGACGAAATCCGTTTTCGCTTCTTAATCTTCTTTTAAATATTCACCACTTCATTTCCGGTAATTTCGTTTTACGAGATTTTGCAACTTAATCCTTTGCCTCTTGTATAATTCATGTTTATTTTATCAAGTCTTCATCCGCATAATCGATCTTCCTTCTTTTGTATGTTTCATCTTTAATCGATATATAATTCTACTTCAACTAAATTTATGGAAGAACAAACACTCTGATATGCAAATACAAACTATTGATTCTATTCTGTGGCACGTAAATAGTTGATTCAAGATATTGAAGTTTGTGTTTAAAATGACTTTAATATTCAAATATTCACTTTTATACGACATTAAACGACCAAAGTTATTTACAGCAACATAACAACTTATGTTACCTTTAATATCCTATTCATATTTACATCGTTAATATATTTTAAACGAAATATGAACAAACATATTAAAAAAAACTCCTTTATTTACTCAAAAGTTATAATATAAATTATTTTTATTAAGAGATATTAATTATTTACAAAATTCCCAATAGATTATAAATGTATGTATTGAAAATGTATGTAATTGTGATCATAATTTGTTCGTATTAAAGTCGAGATTAAATGATAATTGAAATGATTTACTTATTAGTGGTTATAAATGCAACTGCCATATATTTTTCTTGCACGGCAAACATATTTCGGTGTCACGCAAATTATGATAATTCTGCGGTATTACGGTTTGCGCAAATCGTGGGGGGACGATGGCGCACTCTGATTTATCGCTCGCGATTTTCGTTTGACGCGCGGTCGAGGATAACAAAAGCTAACGCAAAAATTACACGTCACGGCGAACTGCAAAATAATAATTAATATTCAATTGTGATCGCGTCACAATGGGGGTTTTTGGGAAGCGAAAGGCAAATAAATACATGTAGAGTGAGGGAGAGAGAGAGAGAGAGCAAAAAAAAAACATTACTGTTATTATTATTATTGCTATCATGAACAATAATTGGGCGCATCGTAAATTAAATTTACGCTTCGTATTTATTTATTAACGCCGAACGGCCGCATGAATTTGCCGGTGTGCCTTTCGGATAAATGGGCATAAATCAAATGGAGGGACGGACAACGTAAACAGCGACTTCCAATGTTTTGTTTCGTTGCTGTTTTTTTTATTGCTCTTCTTTTGTTCGCGGGGATGATTTTTTTTTAAACGCTGTAATCGTTGTGGGCGGGTGAAGTGGGGGTTAAAGTGGAAAGTTTGTTTTCAGCAGTCGCCGTTTTGATTGATACGATTAAGCGCAGTGTATTATGTTATTTGCCCCATTACCTTTGATTTATGCTGCTGAATGCAATAGTGAATGATTTTCGCTCGTAACTCATGGAATTACCCTGAAATCGCTATTGCGCTGAAAAAAATATATGAATATATAACGTAACGCACAATAATAGAGTGCTATTTGTTAAAGCTTAATCGAACATATGATTAGTAATAAAAGTGGTATCAACTTGTCTTTTAAAAAAAAAAAAAACTAAATTTGCAACAGTAAATATTGAAATAAGTTTGAAATAAAATAGTTGTTAATTTTAACTGACGATAAATTGATCATAAAGAACTAAAGTTAGGTACATAAATTAATGCATAAAACAATGCAACCATATTTGGTTTATAAGGATTATGTTTAAATCATCATTGAAAACCATTTTTATTATATATTTACCAAAATGTTGATTCTGTTCAATATTCATTTTATATAATAATATAGAATGTAATAATTCCATCTTATTTGTGATTTTATGTTGGATGTACGGAACATTTGAGTAGTCTTGAATTAATAATATTAAAAATAATATAGGTTGTGATATTGTGAAGAGGCATTATATAAAGAAAAAAGAGGGTCTTATGTCGAATGAGAGGAATGAAATCCGTGTTCCAAGAATAATAAATGTGTGTTTTATGAGGAGACTTGAAGACCGGACGTCGTTACTGGCTCCACCGAAATGTAAGAGGCTTTTTGATCATTCGGTCTCTCTCTTGTAAAGGGGATGGACGGCCTCGTTGTTTTCGACCCCCGCAAAAGTCCTCGAATCGCAACATTCGCCTCCCTCTATCTCTCTCCATCCTTTACATTTTCGGTGTGCGGATGGCAGAAGACAATTGATACCGAGACGCCCGGAAGTAATGTTCGTTCCTTTTGTGTTCGTTACAGATTGCCTCTATCTGCAGCTCTATCGGGATTCCAAGGACAGATACAAGCAGGGCCACACGAAGGCGTCGCTCTCCCTCCAACACTTCCTCGGCCTCGAGACTGGCTTCACGTTGGATAAGGAGTCGAACACTGTGGCCATCCTTTGCGAGGATGTTGTCGTCGTTTTGGCTTTCGACAACAGGGAGAGGTTGATGCAATGGCAGATCAAATTGAGCACGCATTTGGGGGATGGACCGCAGTACCTGGTGCTGCTCCAGTCGGCGCCACCGAAGGCTCGCGTCCAGCCCGGCCCTGCTAGGTTGCACGTCCAGGAGAAGGGCTTCTGCTTAAGCACAGGGGTACCGCCACGTATGGCCGGTCACTGGCTCATCTCCAATCTAAGGCGGTACGGCGTCGTGGACGGAAAGTTCTGCTTCGAGGGAGGCTCCAGGTGCGGTAAAGGCGAAGGCGTTCACGTGCTCGTCACCGATCAAGGAGACGATATCACAAGCACTCTTAAATTGGCCGCTGCAGGCATGCTGCACACTTCCAGAAGAAGGCCAGTCTCTAGGAATATGTCAGGTAATTATAATCAAATGTATAATTAATGGGTGACCAAATATGAATATTAATATTTTACTATAAAGGCTTTGTTCATCGTTTCATATAAATATTCGCCTTTTACCATAACCCAATTAAGTATTAAGTTGTAATAGTTATTGCTGGGCTATCTTGAGTAGTTATACAATAATTTAAATGTGTGATAGATTTTGGATCAGATTGTAATGTATGTTATCATCGATCGTTTTGTTTCAGTGATGGACAGCCCACGTCGGCCACCTTTGAAGGCGGAATTGAGGAATCCGGATATCGCAGATCCGTCCATGTTATCGCGGGTCGATTCGCCGTACACGGATCTAGATAGTAACTACGGTTGCGGTGATGTGGGGTCGACGGATGGATGGAACGGTCCGCCCATTGAGAGGTGCATGAGCTGCATCAGCAAATTGGGGGCGATGTCGAGGTCTTCGACGGCCACGATAACGCCGAGCATTCCGCCCTGTTGGGAGCACACCTGCGACAGGCATTCGATCAGCAGTGGATCCGACAGCTCTGGCTGGAGCCAGACCGTCACCAAGCCTCCGGCGAGACCTCCGAAGCCTATGTCTCCAGGCAAGAAACCGGCGATGCCGCTGCCGGTACACTACGACAACTACGACATCCCGAATTTCCCTTATCCCGTTGAAGCGAAGACTGATGAACACTACGATACGCCGCGGAAGATCAAGGAGTGTCTCGCAGAAACCGTTCGGAAGCCATGCGGTTGCGTGCTGAAGATACGACAGCCCGAGCCGGAACGAAACTGCTATTGCCAAAGATTCCTGTCCTGTTGGGGACAGACTGACGACGTGAACGCGCTCTACGCCCAGGTCGACCTCACCAAGAAATATAACAGGAACCCCAATTATGCCAACATCCCGGTGCAGGCGGCTCCACCGGCCAACAACTACGAGAACATGGACTTTGCTCAGTCGCTCAAGCTGTACGAGAACGCCAAGCAAGTTGTTCAAAAGGCCAACAATCTCTGCACCAAGTGCGGTCACGCTCAAGAGGATTACCTCATGATGGAGCCGGCCACGCAGCAGCCTCATCCCGGCTACCTTCCGATGTCTCCCGCTGTTAAGCAACGACTGGGCAAGCTGCTCTCCAACTCCAATCCCAACTTGACGAAGCCGAGCGGCTCGGCGATGCTCCAGGGCCAGACAAACCTCTACCAAAGAAAGCAGTTCCTCGACAACACAGACAACATCGAACGGCGGAAGCGCTCCAACTCGGCAGATTCGAGCCGCGCCGAAGAATCGGAAACCGCCCCCGTAGAATGCACCTGTCAGGCGGTCAGGAGATCCTCCTCGGTTCCCAGCAAATCTAACCGCGATTCCTCCAGTTCCAACGATTCCGGCGTGTTCGAGCTGCCGCGCAAATCCATTCTACCGTCCGCCACACTGCCAAGAAGGTCTAAGTCCTCAGATCCGCTAAAGGACATCAGCTTCAACTTCCAGAAGGGCGAACAGAAGAGCGCCAGCGCTGAGGCGGAGGTGCCCGTCTGTCCCTCCGGTTCCACGTCGAGCGGCACCTCCGACATGTCGGATTACTTCGAGACGCTCTCCTTGTCCTCGCACAGTTCCTCCGACGCGCCGCCGCCGCCATCCTGCACCCTCAGACCCAGATCGGGCAATGAGTATCTGAGCCTCCAGCGGCTCATCGCTCCCGTTCCAGAGGAGCGCATCAACTAGTCCTTTTCCTATAGCAATATACACTTCTTCCTCGATCATCCAGCCCTCACCTGTCCCTAAATCCCATCCTTCTTTATCGACCTTCCCAGTCCTTGATGAAAACAAAAAATAAAATATTATTAAATATACAAGAATAAAACGAAAATATCGATTACATAATTAATAAATAAATAAATATTAATGCAGTAAATAAGACAGAAGGAGAAGGAGTTTAAACAAATAAAATCTATCTAAGGAATTTATACATAGCACTTGTACTATTATAATATTATTGTAATAAGTTTAATCATTATGTGTAATGTAAAAAGCAACGACTATTATTAAATTATTAACAAATAAAGAAAAAAAAATGCCAATTATAAAATAATATTTTTTATTTCATATCACCAATCATAATCCCCTTTAAACTCATTCAATACCTAAAGGTAAGTATTAAAATAATTTATTCTCAGACTTACTATTAATGGCTTTTTTCACATATAGTCGACATATAAATCAATAACAAAAAAATAAAAATCAACTGAAATATTTTGCTCGTTCATCACGAATTTTGGATTATAGATTTCTTCGTATCGTCTAAAATCAAGTTAGAAATTAATCGGTATGAGTGATAAGTAAATTTGATATACAACCACAATGTGTATATAAAATTGTATTCAAATAATGTCGTGTAATGTAAAATATTATTTCGATTGATGTTTATGAAAAGTGAAATCAAGTATCTTCGAATAAATTCAGTATATGTATGTTGTAGCAAATAAAATAGAATTAATTTTCAAAATTGTCAACAAATATTATTGATAATTATTGTAAATTACTAAATTGATTATTTTGCTGCAAAAGTAATTAAATTTGTTGCGCCGTAGGTGCTAATTATTACATCATAATTAGTGTTTCAATAATGCCTATTCATAAATGTAGAACATGTGAAATTATAGTCATCACTTCAATTGTCAATAAATATTACCATTAAGATTTCAATTATGACAATTACTTTATACAAAATTAATAATAAATTTAAAATAAAATGGCGTTATGGAAATAATGATATTTCCATGATTCTATATGTAAATTGTAACTTTATTATGAATCTAACATATTTATAGAAAGAAGTATTATTTTACATGAATCAAAACTTAATATGCAAATTTATATTTAGATCATGAAATAGTATACATTTTATAAAAAAAGCAATAAATATGATGTTTTTCTTTTATTTCTTTTATTTTAATATTTTGTTTTATAAGATATGTCTTACTGTTGTACTCTGAAATTAAATAAAACAAATTACAGTATTAAAATTCTATTATATTCACATAATTTTGAAATTATTTTGTAACAAATATTTCAATCATCTTATAAACTGTATTTAGCGTGAGAGCGAAATAATTAATTTAGTATGGGTAAACTGTGAGCGCTGCTTGTTCTGTAGCGGTTACAAACACAAGGAGCTCAACATGTACCGAGCAAATAAAGTGCACGAACTAAAGAACTTGGAAGAGGTAGAGCGAACTAATTGCACTTACAAAACTACGTCAGCTCAAAGCCCGCTAGGCCGATGAAGAAAACAACGCGGATATCTTGATTAGACCTGCCCTTCGGTAAATTTCCCAAAAAAAAGCCTGGGTTTCATCTTAACTTAACTTTTGCAAGTGTAAATTCTTCTCACAGCATTTTGTTTTCTTTATTTAAACTGTAATATAAATACAGTGTTGTAATTTTAATCTTGTAGATCAGTGGTTGCCAAACTTATTTGGCCTACCGCCCCCTTTCCAGAAAAAAATACTACTCAGCGCCCCTGGATTTTTTTTAAATTTCAATAGCAATTAAACAGAAAGATATATGTATTAAATGCAAATGTACCTGTGGCCATCACCGCCCCCTGGATCGCTGCAGCGCCCACTTTGGGAATCACTGGTGTAAATTAATGAAAATACATCATGCAATTATCATAGTTTTTAAACAAGATGTCACAAAAGTAGCGTTATTATAAATATATTTTAATTAGTAGTTAATTCAATGTGGGGAAGAATATAAATGCAACAATATTGAGCATTCATATAAAAATGAAATAAAAGAAAATATTGGTATAATCTGTACTATTGAATTGAATACGAATCATGTTTATAATTACTTTTATAAATACTATGGCTGAAGTATAGAAGTATATTGAAAACACGGGGAATTCGAATAATTTGAACGGTTTTCCAACCCTAATCCTTTTCAAATTCCAAATAAAAATATGTTAAGCCAAATTAGCTTTGAAATTAATCCATAAGCTTACAGTTTACTCCGCGTTCCCAGCAAACCTATTTCAAGTGCACATAATCAACTTTTAAAAAACAATACAATTTTTTTTTGGTATATAAATAACAGACAAATATCAATGGATTATAGCACAATTTAATTTAGTTTAATATGCGACACATAATAATGGTATTTTCTGCATTACAGTTGCGATCAGATCAAATCTGCGCTTTGCATATTTGGTGTATTTCAAAGCTGTTTATTATTTTTGGATCGATGTGCTGTTTATGTTTTGGCTGCGACTGAAAATAAAAGCTTCAGCCGTGATATAAAAGTAAATAAATAGGGGCAAATCCCTTTCCATTACATATTTCCAATAAATTTTGAAATAACAGATTTGTTTCATTCGATGCACGATATATAATATACGTGTGTGCACTAAAGTGTGTATTGGGTTGCATAAATAAATGTAACATTTCAATAGGAAATATTGTTGGTATTATATTAAATATTGGTGCTGCAAGGACACATATTTAGTAAATAATATAAATTTCAGTTATATTACATATAATATTTGGGTTACGCAATGAAATTATGTTATATAAGAGTTATGTCCATTACATTGTAGTTGTAAACTAAAGAAAAACAACAATATCTCGCATATTGTGGGTAATCAGTTCTGTAAATATAAACATCGCATAAGATGAGAACTGTATACTAAAAACGACTATTTATATATAAATAATATTTTGCTCAATGAAAATTTAGTTTGTTTTGAAATTTTCAAACCGTACTATATTGAATCCGAGATAATTGAAGTCGCACAAATCGAGGTACTGCTGTAAAATAATTTTATAAAAAATAATTACAGTGGGTAATCGGTTTACGAACAATTCGGACTGTGAATAAATCGGAAGAACAGGATCACTTTTGCAAAAGATTTTAATGTTTGGACAACAAATAAATTAAAGTTATTAATTACCCACCTAATTACAATACTGTTGGGAGTTAATGCTGATGGTATAATAAAGCTTTAGATGCTTCTTAAATCGGTTAACGAATATTGCCGGTAGTAAACATCGTCTTTGAACGGATTATGTTTGATAAGAAATATAAATTCTTAGTTAATATTATATTGAGATTTAATAAATGTAACCTCGCTTAACGAGTTTAATCCGTACAAAAAAACACAAATAACATGTCTGCACACAAATTTGGAAATATACGTGATCACAAACAACACTAAGATGCAACTAGAATGACCACTAACACTAGGAACTGTTTTAAAATTCATACATGGTGAAGTGAGTTTATATTTGTTTATATTACATGTATTATTTCGGGGTGGAGGTCTCTTTATACTATTTATATTTTTTTATATAAAAAATACACATAATATGTGTATACAAGTTTTAAAAATGATGTAGAAAGCGCTCATTCCGGGACTTCTCTTCTCATCGTCACTCGTTATGCGAAACGTCAATGTAATAACATTTAATTTAAAAACTATCATTAATTTCATTAAAAAATAGAAAAAAGAATAAAGAAAAATTATTTATTTATTTTAGTATCTTTATATAATTTTGAATATATACTTAAAAATCAGGTAAATCTATTAATTTGGACAGAAATACCAAGGTCGATGTCACGTTAGGCAAATTTATTTATTTCTATTCACTACTTATTAATATTATGAAGAATAATTATGTTATTTCCAATTTCTTTTTTTTTGACCTAGCAAACTTGTTGTTTTCAGACACAATAATTGAGACACTATCGAAATGACACAATCTGATGACTAGATGATATTAATAAATATGGAAATATTGCAGAATAAAAAAGAAATACATATACAAACTAGTTCCTTTCTAAAGGGTTCGTAAGTCGAATTTGTTCGTAAATTTCAAAATATACTTATCTTACCACACTTTATCATGGTTTTTACTTTTATATATTTTAAATTCCGTATTACTGACTGCATACATTTGAAAAACAAGATTAAAATATACAAAATACTTACAAATACTTTTCAATGGAGACATCAAAATTATTTAATAAGACAAAAGAAATAAACAATATCTGTATTAGTTTCAGAAACATTTCCAATTTTGTAAATTATCCATTAATTTTATATACCTGGTTATATTATCGATAAAAATAATGATCATTTGACTTACTAAAAAAACAGACTTACTTGAAAAACTTACTTGAATATTTTTTTTTTTTTAATAAAATTTATATACATTTTTTTATATAAAATCAAAATTGAAAACAATTGTTTCTTATTTATGATATCTTGTTAATTTTTAAAAGAATATGTAAATGACTACGGTAAATCTTGGCTTGGATCTTGGTAATGAATGGTTTTGGTAATGAATAAGCCAGGCAGTAATAATATTGTTTGGGGGAAATCGATGGGCACGTAGATATATTGTTGGAATTTCGGTTAATTCGAAATGGTGTGTTATTCAGTCTATTGTTGTTCATGCGTGATATTTGTTTTCGAATGCACATGGATCCGTGTGAGCCGCAATTAATTATCCAGGTTGCCGTTTAATGCGTTCTATGAAATAGCAGCATTATTAGTTTTTAGTTAATTGCCGGTTGATAATGTATCTGTTCCCATTTCGTAATTCGTCGAGGCTTTTCCATTTCTAAATGCAGCGGCCTCAGGAAAACAGAAGGAAGTTCCAGAAGGTTCATTTTTTGTTTTGTTTAATCGAAATGTTATTTTATTGTAACTGCGTTTCCGATTTCCGAGTGGTAATGAACGGAACGAAATCGAAACCGTGCTCTCTGCTGTTTACAAAGAAAGTTGGGCTCTTTAATTTGGCGCTTCGTTCCGGAATCGGACTGAGGTGCATCGAAAAGAAAGTTACGTAAACGGCTCCGCGGAGATGCACTTTCGCTGGATTTTGAGAAAGCGAAATGCAGGCACTGGGCCAAGGTGAGTGCGAGGTGAGGAGCATACGGGCACCTGACATAATGTTATCAATCTGGGCCCGCTTCCATGATAACATAGGAGGCAAGATCCGAATGTCGAGATTTTGTGGGTCGCAGAGGAGGAGGTGACGGCTGCCGTAATAAAAGGGACGTCGGACGGTTGGACTCCCTAAAAGCCATGGCGATGGTCGCCGCGCCGGTCGTTGGTCCGCTCTTGACCGTCATCACGATCATCATTGTGATCATCTCGCTGTCCAGTCGCGCTGAAGCGCGCACCTATCGAAGCGGATTCCCAAAGTTCCCTGCGAGGTGCGGTTCGAGGCTGGTGGCGTGGAGTCCGCAGAGGGAGCCCCGGATCATCGGCGGGGAGGTGCCACCGTACGGAGCCGTCCCCTGGCAAGTGGACATCCGTATAGATGGAGCTCACCACTGCGGCGGCACGATCATCGCAAACCGCCTCATCCTGACGGCCGCGCACTGCTGCCAGGACAACCTGACAGTAACCACAGGAACCCAGGGACCTCACACCGATTTCGAACAATCCTTGAAAGTGCTGAAAGCCATCAAGCATCCAGATTTCCGGAGGGACGGGCCGTACAGTAACGACATCGCGCTTGTTCTCGTTGAAGATCCAGGATTCACGTACAACGCTGTCGTGCAACCAGTGTGCCTCGCAGAAGAAAGCCCCCAACCTGGCACCTGGTGTGAAGTCTCCGGATGGGGTGCAATGGACCCCTCCGATCCGGAACGAATCTCGCCTATTCTCAGATCAGCAGCCGTTCCGTTGATCTCCTTGGACACCTGCAGACAGAGCGGCATCTACGGAGGCCGACAACAACCCATTTTGGATAGCATGCTTTGCGCCGGAAGACTCAAAGGAGGCGTCGATGCTTGCGGAGGCGATTCCGGCGGTCCACTCGTCTGCAACTTGGATGGTAACCTCGAGTTGGCCGGCATCGTTTCCTGGGGTGATGGATGCGCCAAGCGCGACAGACCAGGAGTCTACACTCGAATCTCCAGTTACCGCAAATGGATCCGCGAGGCTGCCCAGAATCTGGGTATTCACTTCATCTAACTAACACAAATTTATTTATTCCCATTAATCTGTGATATCAAAGACAAAATGGATGTAAACCATGGATGTTTACTTTATATAGAACAAATACAATCACGCTGTTTATGAAGTTTTTCAGTTTTAATATAAACAGAACCCTTAATCTGGATCCCGCATTCATTCAATTTATTAAAAAACTAAACTCTACAAAATTGAATCCGTCATGAAAACAACTAGCAAAATGGTAAACAAACAGAATTTATTTAATTCAATTCAGAAGGTTTATACTTTTTATTATTTTTAATAAATACAAAATATATATTCCATAAACTTAACAATCATTTTACATTATAAGTTATGGTATTATGGGAAGGAACAACCATTTTGGGTATAAACATTAACAAATAATTGAAGTATGTCTTATTATCTGGAGGTAGAGAAAATAACTTATTTTTGAAATATAGTTCTAATAATAATTAAGTTAATAAAATGAAAAAAAAACATATTTATAAATAAAAATTAAGATTTGTGTATATCTTATATTTAATCAAATATTTTAGGTGCTGTTAATAGATATGTGTACTCCAATTTTGTTTCTCTAACAATAAGTGATATAATTAAGGTGACAAACTATTTTTTGGAAATTCATCTACCCATTCAGTTTTTTTCATTTGATTAATTGCAAATAGAACTGATACATAAACATCTTCTTATTCTAATATTTTGCATATTATGAGCTGCCCATTCCTCAATATATTGATAGCAAATTCTATAAAAATGTCTAAGTTCTTTTATAAATGTACTCTTAATCCCATATTGAATTCCTTCAAAATTGTTAAATTATTTTTTAAAACTGGAGGTACGAAACCATCATCAAATCTTGCTTTGATATTTTAATATTATCTGGCTGAAATATTATCAGACTCAATTTCTTATGTACTTATGTGAAAACATAATTTCTGACTGTGAACAAAATAGTGTACAATTTTAAGTTATATGTAAGGAACATTCTACAGATATCTCAAAGACAATAGAAGTATAACATGAAATTATTATATGAATTATATAAATTTCAATGAAGGAACAATTCCTTTAATATTTATTTATTACAATGAATCAGGACTTGAAATTAAAACTTTATTGTACACTTTGCTAATCTGACAATGAGAAAATTTGTACCGTAAATTTATGAATAAAATTCTCATTTGTATTCATCCACATCACATATTTGTCATCTTATAACAGTGATGGCAAACCTTTTAGGATAAGCGTGTCAAAATTTGGGAAAAAAACCTAATATAACAAAAGAGCCATCGATCTAGTCTTTCTGCCCGAGAATTTATTTTAAATATATTTTAATTTATTTTTTATGTTTTATTATATTTGTTGCCAAATAAATTGTTATTATTATAATAATTATTATAAGTGAGTTTCTTAAAAACATTTTTTTCAGTATCCGTCACCGAGTTGTCGCGTTCCCATAAAAATGTAGTAGGTGGTGACTATGATTCGGAATAATTTTAAAATGATATTGTAGAAATTATAATAATAAAAGACACTGTCGGGATTTCGATAGAGTAGAGATTCGATACAGTCGGAATTTTGATATAGTCGGAATTTCGGATGTCGGGATTTCGATACAGTTGAGATTTCTAACGTAGGGATTTCGATTGCCACCGATTTATTTTTAAACTTCACGGCCATATGTCTTTAGATTATTGACTTATACCAAAAATTTCTTGATATTATCATATAATTTATTTATAATTCTTAAACGGTTAAATTGTTCTGAGAATATCGCATCCAAAAATTTAAAAAAATACACCTAATAGAAATACGAACGGATATTTGATAACTACAGAAGACCTAAAAATGTCCCCTAAGACGACGTTAAATCCAATTCGGCTTAGCATGTTTTGCTTCACTTTTAATTAGTTTTATTTAATTTCAAATATTATTTGGTTTTGGTAAAAAAATATAATTATTGTACACCATCTGTCCATAGTAAGACATACAGTGTAACTTCGCTTAACGAGTTTAATACATTCCAAAATTTCCGGATTTTTAACATATTAACAATATACATAATATATGAACACAAGTTTTAAAAATGATGTATCAAGCGCGCAATCCGGGACTTCTCTTCTCATCGTCACTCGTTAAGCGATTCATTTTTCTTACAATTAATTTTGCTCGTTAAGCGAGGTTCCACTGTATTTATATCGAATCAAGAATAAATAATATTTTAATTTTAATATTTCATTTTATCATACAATTTAAAATACAGGTATCTCCCGACTTAAGAACTTCCAGACTTACGAACAAAATTCTAAAAGCTCTAACTTGTTACAAGGAGATATATAGTGATAAAAAAATGAACAGCCCAACCAAAATTGATAATTTATTTAATAAAATATGATATTTTTGGAAGATGTTCTACCTGTATTGTTGCATTTGTTTCTTTTATCCTTTTTTTATTAAATAATTGTGATGTCTATATTGAATAGTATTTGTAAGTAAGTATTTTGTTTATTTTAATCTATTTTTTAAATGTATGCAGTCAGTAATACGGATTTTAACATATATACAAGTAAAAACCATGATAAAGTGTGGTAAGATAAGTGTATTTTAAAATTTATAAAATTCCCCCGACTAACGAACAACCCTTATGAACAGAACTAGTTCGTAAGTCGTGGGATACCAGTATATTAATGAGTAATATTTGAATGTCAAGTTATTATATATGCAACCTCTTGTACCAACAGTATGTTCGCGTGGCTGTATTGCCATTATTGTTTGGTGTAAACTTGGCTTTAACCTAAAATTATTCCACAAACCCTGAAAATAATTCATGTATTGCCATCTGTAGTAATTCAACAACATTATACCAAATCATTTGTGCACTTGTGTTGGGTTTTGTAGTGGTAGATTCCGTATTGTAAGTATTTCAATTACTAATAATTTTTGCTCATATTTATTGTTAGTAACTATATTAACAGGTCAATAGAAACGATTTAAAAATTCGAAATGTCTGAAGCAGTTCCAATTGATTTTAGCTACATAATCGACGAGATCAGGAGCGGGTAAGTATTACTTTGTAGCTGATAATTTCTTTAATAAATTGTTGTTATTTGGATTTACAGCACACTGAGCCAATCGAATGAAGTAGCTTTGAAAACAGAGGAATTTGTTGAGAGGATAATTGCAGAAAAGGATTGGAAAAATGCACAGTGAGTTTTCATGCAATGCAGTCATCAATATGAATATTAACAAATTTTAATATACTTTTAGAGAATTGATGAATTTGATTAAAGCTGAAATCAAACTGATTAGTGAAGCACTTCCCTTGCATACAATCTCCACGAATATATTGAGGCATGTGCTGAACATTATCAGAGAGGAATATGATATTGGTTTTAAGGTTAGCTATAAATCATTGAATTTCACAAAGTTGTTACATATTGCATTGGTTTTAGAGCCATGTTGAGCAGTCCTTGCATCAAATGATGACGTCTGATTCAGATGCAATGGGAGACTATTCAAAAATGTTGGATGGTTTAAAGACATCCATAATTGATCATTTATCAGAATACAAAACTGAATTGGAGACAAGCATTGACAATATTGCTGCGCAAGCAACTGACCATATTTACACTAATGAAATCATCCTAACCTTTGGACAATCTAATACTGTGGAGCAGTTTCTGAAAGCAGCATCTCGCACCCACAGCTTCCAAGTAATTGTTGCAGAAAATGCACCAAGTTACAATGTAATTATCCAATTGTTAATCTATTTAGCATCAACTTTAATAATTTAATTTTTCCAGGGTCACAGTATGGCTGTATCTTTAGCTAATCACAATATACAAACTACTGTTATATCAGATACTGCAATTTTTTCTGTAATGTCTAGAGTTAACAAGGTTATTATTGGAGTGCATTCAGTCATGGCTAATGGCGCTTTAAAAACAGCTTGTGGTGTTCACGCTGTTGCGTTAGCAGCTAAACATTATTCTGTACCCGTAAGTTTATAGTTCATTTTTTAATATTTTTGGATACATATTATTTTCTTGCATTTCAGGTAATGGTTTTAACTCATTTGTATAAGTTAAGTCCTACTTATGTCAGCAGTTATTCATTTGATGCTTGTTCGTCTCCTGCTTCTGTGTTACCATACTCATTTGCAGGAGATATTGTTAGCAGAACAAATATCATCAATCCTATGTTTGATTATGTTCCCCCAGAATTGGTCACCTTATTCATAACATACCAGTAAGTATTCTTTATATCAATTATAATAATTGAATTAATTATTGTCATTATTTCAGAGGCGGAAATGCACCCTCGTATATTTACAGATTGTTGAGCGAATTGTATCATCCAGATGATCATGAGCTTTAATTTCATTCATTGTACATACATTTTTTTTTTCAAACATAATTTTATCTCAGTTATTTAATTAAAAAACAAAATTAAATATTTTATATTATTAAAAATCCTTCCATTATTGTCCATATCCTAAAAGTTTCGGACTTTTCCAATTAAATAAATTAAGTCTTAACTTCGAGTCTTTACTATAAATAATTGTAAAAATTTTGAAAAGTTTGATCTACAGCAAACTTCATACCCGTAAACCTAACCTAATTTACTTGTCAAAGTAGATGAAAACATTTTGTTTTGCATCACAGCCTATTCATCATGAGTTTATCAAACAGACCTAAAACCAGTATTCTGGATAAGCCTCTGAGCAAAGGGAAAGGAGAGGTGTCCTTAAGCTGCTTTGCTTTGTTGTTCTCGGAGGTGGTTCAATATTCTCAGAACAAATCCAGCACTGTGCCTGAACTACAAAACAGGTCAGCAGAAAAAACCTTCAGCATTTACAACAATAACTTTGATATTGTTACAGATTGCACAGCTTGGGCTACAACGTGGGATCTAAAATAATCGATTTATATTTCGTCCGTGAACGTAACGCTAAACGCGAGATCAAGCTGCTTAATATACTGCTGTTTATTAAATCTACCCTGTGGAAGGTTATTTTAAAATTTAGACATTTTAATATAATATATATTGGGTTATAATTGTAGGCTTTGTTTGGTCGTGAAGCTGAGAAGTTGGAGCATTCCAATGATGATGAGAACACCTACTATTTGATGGAAAAAGAACCACTGGTGAACAAGTTTATTTCAGTGCCGAGGGATAAAGGCAGTTTGAACTGTGCTATTTTTATTGCTGGGATTATAGAATCAGTATTGACTGGCACTGGTTTTGTATGTTGATTCATTACTGTTATTGTTTCTGATTTATGATTATGATATATTTTAGGCGGCGAAAGTCACAGCGCATTGGCATAAAGGTACGACGTACATGGTGAAATTTGATGAATCTGTTGTGGCCAGAGATAAGCAATTGGAAGATAAATGAGTTTAGATGTTGACATTCCAAAGCAATTTGTATTTGTTTTATAATTATTTAAGTATAAATTAAAAGCGTGGATTATGTTTTACATGCAATTATTTATCTATATGAAAATATATTATTTTTATAGTAGCAGCAGGGTTTTCTTGTTAATAACAGATTTTTAACTCATCATCTATTAAGAAAATTTCTGATAGCATATTGTAAAATTTCTAGTTTTACGATAAAATAATGACAAAAAGTTAAATAAAAGTTTTGTTTTTTTGAAATTGTTGTAAACTTAAAATTTGTCGAATCTTCTTCGAAAACTGCTATTTCCACTTGGAAAGTGTCTTAATAGTACTATATTTTTTTAGGGTCTATAACGCAAGCCCGATAACCGAAATACCGTCAATCGTAATCCCGACATCCCTGTCGATTTCGATATAGTCGTGATTTTGATTGTCGGGATTTCATATAGTTGGTCATAATTATGGTTGTCGGGATTTTGATATAGTCATGATTTTGATTGTCGGGCTTGTGATTGCCACCGATTTTTTTATTTTAGTCGGTTCTTATCCATACATAAAAAATAAATAATGTAAAATTTCGTATCAAATTTTACTTCTTAGTGATACCAACATCCAACCCGTAAATGGATGGAAAAACTGCATATTTATAAGGGAATTTTCCGGGTTACAAATTTCGTAACACGATAGGTTGAAGGGTAGTTTACATGTGTAATGTCTGACTAATGTAATTATCTGAAATTACTCGTTCTAGTAATAAGGTTAATGTTGGCGCGGCCGCCTCCGCCCGAGGGATTCGATAATTTTCGTACGGAAAATTAATTTTTAACGGGAAACGAAGATCGATCGCTCCGGTGGAGGCATCCCTTAATCATCCTACGTCATTCGGACGCCCGTCCCTGTCTGTCTGTTTGGTTTCGCCAAACTTGAATGCGCCCAGTAAACACATCAAGCACAAATATTTACATCGAATGGAAATTTCTTGTTACATGTCCACCTCCGCATTGGAAATTCTCGTTAGGTCGGATCATCTTCAGCCCTACAAACGACCCCTTGGTGTTGTGTATAAATAAACATTGATGTTGCGTATCACGATCAGCAATCTTACGATGTAAATTTGTTTACACTTTATCTTTGAAGAACAGATTTGGACCACGTAAGATCGTTGATTATTTTTTTGGTTAACAATATGAATTATATCAGCGATTCTCAACCGCGTAAAATTTTGAATAATTTTACAAATATAGAAAGTACACCCGAGCGTATATTGACGGTCACCAAAATCGTAAATGAGAAGTCGATTCCGCTTAATTGGGGCACCGGTTAATCGGGACAGATGCTTATTAGCGAAAAATCCTAAAGAACGGAAACAAAACTAAGTAATTATCAAAAATTAGAGTAATCGCCATTTTTTATTGAGTACGCGACAGCTCAACGACGGACAAGTCGGCGATGGTCAAGTCGGCAACGGTCAACTGAGCACCTACTAACTCGGTCAACATATTTCATATTTTATTTAAAAAAGTTTAATATAATTTCCAGTCGATTGATTATGTTTAAAATATGTCATAAAAAAAATATACTATAAGAAACGTGACTTTCAAGTTTTCAAAATGTTATTAATTATTATTAAAAAAATATTTAAATAATAAAAAAGTATGAATTGCAGATTTTAAAGAAAAATTTATCTATTTTTAAACTTTCAAAATTCGATGCTGTCTTGTATGTAATTTATGCTTAACTAATGTATAAACTGGGAAAATAAAATTGCACTTCATGCTAATAGTATAATCTCCAAAGTTTGTTGTAAACTGTTGTTTGAGTTCGTGGATTACAGGGAATTCAATACTTCAATTTTTGTACAAGCCATTATTAGAATCGTATAATGTAGCATGTCTCACGACTCAACATATTTGTTTGTAGTTGTGGAGCGACCTAATTGTCAAGAGTATTTACCATTAGATGGCAGCTGTAATTTCGCAACCATGCAATTTTGGGTTGCGACCCATAGGTTGAGGAACGCTGGTATAATGTAATCCAAAATATTACAGAAACTTGCATGATATCTTTGGTTCAATTATTACGTGTGAAATGTATCTTTATTGTTTATAATTCCGTATATATATAGTACGTTTATTTTGAATATCCAATTTGATTTTCCCAAATTCACATGTTTATATTTAGAAATAATATGGTTTTCGTCAAATAGGATATTCCCCTAATTAAAGGTGAACTTGCCTCTGTGGATGAACTTGCTGCTAAAAACTTTTCGTCATAACTTGCGAAAATTATAGCAGATCGTTCATTTGCTTATAGATGAATTGCTAGTTGACAAATATTTTTAGGATGATGAAATAATAGAGGTTGTCTGTGCATCCTTCTGATCTGCTGGAAGAAATCATAAAGATGATGACGAAAAGAATAAACTGGAAATCAAATTGGAAAACCATTTTCTTACACGTGATCCTCTTATTGAAAAAACTAAGTAGTTTAAGCGTGAATTGACAATGTAAGTCATTACCATTTTTTTAAATTAATTATAATATTTTCGTTTTTAAGAACTAATCTACATACACACTGTATATATTTTTACATGAATTCTTCAGAAGTCCATCTACCACTGTAAAACAGGTTGATGTGTACATATTTTGTGTAAATTTAAATATGTATATTCGTTTATTATTTTTTTTCAGTATTTCAATATTTCTTTCCTAAATTCATATACTTTTAATAACTTTAATAACTAAATTTTTATGACGTAATCACGCAATATATTCAATTTTTACAAATTTATGTTATTTTTTCTGATTGTCCGCAATCAATCAAACATAAAATGGTGTAAGAAAATAGATGAATCAACTCCATTACCAATTGTATCAGTCTATAAGTACGTAAAAGCTCCCTTAACGATCATTTTTAAATATTTTTTATATTTTACAGCATTTGATTTATTTTAAATAGTAAAATGTAAAATAATAATTAAAATGTTGAATCTTAAATTGTTCTTTAGTAATTTTCAACGATGACGATTGTTAATTGACAATTTGTTTTTTTAACATAGTGTATTTTAAATCAGACTAATCAGCATAAAAATAAATTGTACTAAAGCAGAATTTTATAAAGGAAAAATCACAAATCATTTTTATGGATTTTTTTTATTATCCTGAATAAAAAGTTATTTTTTTTTTGAAACTGGACTGTAATGAATCTGTATTGATCGAAGAGTAGTATGCGAAGTGTTGCTGTATTGTTGATATCCAATTTCATGCGAATTTTCAATAAAAATATTAGTTTCAATATTTCTAGCTAATGGAATGACATCGAAGTAGATCCATTATGTCCACTTGTTTGTCTATTCTCCAGTCTCGGTTATACAGAGATAGTCAATATTTCACCGACGGTCACGGAACGACGCAATAAAAAAAATCACCTTACCATAAATTTAAACTTTGGTTTTAAACGATCGTCAATAAAATCTACACTCGTCGAGCACTGAGCTTTCTCACGTCTAAAAGTTGATGTATTGCAATCGCAGCCGTCTGTTTCAGTTTTATCGCACTCCGTGATAACTAATTGTAGTTGGTACACAAATGTATGTCTCATTGTGCAGATGACACATAAAATGCAATGCGCGATCGATTACTATTTATTATTCAGTGAATTTTTTCAGTATATTTTTATAGTGTTTCAAAGTAAAATATTATAGTATTTATATGAATTACAAATTTTTCATGCAAATAACACACATCTATATTAAAACATTCATTATAATTCATATAATTCCAATACATAGCAAAATAACAAGCTTTATTTACTCGGTAAATAGAAGTACTATAATATAAATTGATAAATTGCGGTTAGTTTCAATAAAAATAGGGCATTATTTATTCGGTGATAACTTATGATTTATCGTAACTATTCAAAACATTTTTTATTGATTATCGCTACACAAATAAAAACAGAATTTTTAATTGAACTGATCAGTCGATTGAACAAGAAAATAAATAAATTCGAAAAATTATACAATAATAATAATTTTTTTCACCTTATACAGTTAAATCTCTTTCTGTGCGGTTTATTTTGTGTATGTAATTAGTTCCTCGATTAGTCCTAGATCTTGGCGATGTTTATTGACAGTATTATGTGAGGTATTGCTGTATTTCGCGTATAATACAGTGCGTTTACAACATGATTTCTTTATAAAATAATTAAATCTAAATCTCATATAACACTGTTGTGTCCAACCACTGTATTATTAATTATTGATATATATATATATATAAGTACTGATAAATACTATGTGTACTGTTTATCAAGTACAGTATTGTGGAAAGTTCCCACAACAAGCTTATCTGCACTTGCAACACCTACATAGTGCAATAAAACCTTTTTGGAGAAACACTCTATTTCTCATATTTTGTTAGTTTTACGACCCATTTAGGTCACCCTCTTGCATTATGTGAAAATCAGGCAACAAACTATAAAAACTATGCCACCCAAAATTAACCTCCCCAAACAATTGTAAGATTTAGCAACTTGTCGTGTTTAGTGAAGCTATTTTTTTAATTTTCAAAACAATGGAAAAATCAATAAAACAATGCTTTTTTCATGGGAAAAAATAACGTTCAAGCAAAGCAATGGCTTGATAATTGTTATGGGGACTCATCTCCGTCGAGACAAATGGTAGAGAAGTGGTTTGCTGATTTTAAACGCGGTCGTACAGACACAAATGATGCTAAACGCTCGGGTTGCCCAAATTCGGCAATTAAAATGTCCAAAAAATGGTTTTGGTCGATCATAAATTGAAATTGCGTGAGATAGCTGACATCTTGAAGATATCAGAAGGTAGTGTATTCACCATTGTGCATGAACATTTGATCATGAGAAAGCTCAGTTCAAAATTTGTATTGCTATTTTTTTCATGCGGTATGTAATAATGAATAAAATATGGATCCACCACTACACTCCAGTAAGTCGGTCTTCAGCTGAGTGGACAGCAAAGGGTGAAAGCTGTCCAAAGCAGAGAAAAACGCAAATGTCAGTTGGTAAGGTTTAGGCTTCCGAATTTTGAGAAGCGCACTAAAATTTATAATTTGATTACCTTAGAAAGGAAGGAAAAACCGTCAATAGAAAATATTATATGCCGTTATTGGTACGTTTGAAGGAAGAAATTGAGAAAAACAACCACAAATCACGATGAAAAAAGTGCTCTTTCACCAAGACAATGTACTGTGTCAATCAATACGATGGCAAAAAGCACGAATTGTACTTTGAATTGCTTTCCGATCCACCGTATTCTCCAGATCTGGTTCCCAGCGACTACTACCTGTTTGCAGACCTAATAAATAAATGCCCAAGGGAAAGAGATTTGGCTCCAATGAATAAAAGTGATGAAGCGCATTTTGAGGCCAAAAATAAATAGTTCTACAAGAAAGGTATCGAAATGTTAGAGAACCATTGGAATGATTGTATCACTTTCGAGACTATGTTTATATTGTTCGAGACTATGTCAAATATTGCCTAAAAGTTGTTGTTGTCGGATGACTAATAAATCCTACGAACTTATTGAGTGAGGTATTAAAACTCAATAGAAGTTAAAAAAGTTGCTAAAAATGTATTTGTTACAAAAATATTTGAATGAAATGTGACAACAGTTCGGATTATAAACAATTTATAGAAATATTTTACTTTTTCCAATAAATTTATTTATTTTTTATAAAATATGATACTAATTATTAATAATTTGTTATATGTATGCATTATAAGCCTTTTCATACCTATAACAAAAACTGCCATTCCCGTTTCTATAAGCGTTCTAGAAAAATGATTCATCCAGGGTTGGTTATAACGATAATTGACTGTAATAAAACTGATTTTATTAAATTATAATGTAATTAAATTTGAATAAAATTGAGAATATTCTGTAAACTACTATATTGTTGCCACCAGTAAAGATTGGTTCGAAAGATTTGCAACAACTTCTCATAACATAACATAAAAGTGCTTCAGCTTATATTTTTTTTTAACTTTTTATTATTATTAAAGCAATCTATCATCTGATATAGATATCAAGCCTTATGAATGTGGTAAAAAGAAAAATTAAAAAAAGGACACTATAATACTTACTGAAGAGATGATCCAGCAACCCCACTTCACATATACAATAATTAGTTATGCACTTACAAACATTGATTTATTGATTATTATTTTAATCGGTTGGGTAAGTCTTGCGGTTTTAACCTTTTCAGTCTTCAACGATGATCTGCAGTATGCATCAGCTCCGTAGCCAGTTGGTTTGGATGATTCTCTAGCCGATTATGTCTTGCCTTTGCTATTTCTTCCTTGACGAAACTGATGTTAGCTTGCTTATGGATGTCATCGTTTGTGAAGAACCATGGAGCATTGGTAATTTTTCTCAGCGTTTTGGACTGGAATCTCTGTATTATATCAATACTGATGTTACAGGCAGGTCCCCAAAGCTGAATGCCGTAGGTCCATATCGGTTTTAGAATAGCTTTATACAGGAGCACTTTGTTTTCTGTTGATATGCAACAGTGTCTTCTTATTAGCCACTCCAGCTTTCTAGCCCTCAGATTGAGACATTTTCTCTTGGTTGCTATATGCGTTTTCTAAGTGTGCGATGCCAGGATTGCAGTGTCATCAGCGAACGTGGCCACAGTGACTTGTTTAGATGTAGGCAAGTCCGCCGTGAAAAGAAGATATAGCAAATAGATATAAGAGATTATAATAATGCGACAAGAAAGTATTTAGAGCAGGAATTGCAATATTATTTTTTACTTTGATATCATTGAAATATATGTTTTACAATCGACCTCTATCATCAAGTTGCTGTTGGTAAAGACAATTCAGTAACAAAATATTAGAATTATTTCGACCATTTCCAAAATTCCATCGTTCCATGGATTGAATTATTGAAAAGTAAATAATTAAGTTGATTAAATTTTGAAAATTACACTTGTAGTAAACTTCTTTGAATTACAATTTTTTGCACTATATCTAAACTCCATTGTGCACCGGTTGAAAATCACTGATCTAAAGATTATGTGAAGTTATTTATATACAGTAACGTATCTGGAGTTTGCATGGCAAAGCTCATTCTAATTTAAATATCAGTTAATCTAACCGTTAAAACTGTGATTTACATTTCATGAATGAATGGAAATTGTATGCTAAACGTATTTTTAGCGAAAAATCGTTTCAATAAAATAATCACAATTTAAATGTCAAATCTTTAGCGATAAATGTCAAGAATTAAAAATGATTTATTTTTTTTATTTAAGACCGTGCAAAGTTATTTATACTACAGTTAAAGTTTATTTCAATTTAAATGGTTGTTAATCTTAAGTTAAAACAATGATTTACGTTTTATGTATGAATGGAAATTCTGAGCGAAATATAGTTTTAGTAAAAAATTGTTTTACTAGAACTGACATATTTTTTACTGATAGAAATAAAATAATTTCATTTTTACTTTGTTGTTTATATTCGCATCGGGAGATTATATGTTAAAGTTCATTTTAATTTAAATAGCATTTAATCTTAAGGTAAAACTCTGATTTACGATTTAAGTGATTGCGTATTTTATTCGCAAATCGAGTTTCTTGACATAGCCAAGGTGTTTTATTGCTACGACGATCTGAATCGATAATGGCCTTGATATGATATGATCTCATCAACTTCACCAGAACGAAATTTGAGAAACCAATTTTTACACTGCCTTTTCGGAAACGCGCGTCTTGTTCTTCCATTTTTCCAATTTTAAATTGGGATAAAAACATTTTTTTACTAAATTAAAGGTGGAAGTCCAAGCAACAAGAAAACAATATAGTTGCCAACCCAAAATTATAGTAAAGTTCTCAATGTTTTTGTCGCTCATCCAAGCATATTTGTTTGTAGTTGTACTGTGATCCAATTGATAACAGTTAATCACTTTGACAGCTGCCATTTTATTTTTGATTAAATTTTAATTAATTACTTTCATTATTTCTTATTACGATTTTTAATTCGAAACTCGATTAATTTGATAGTAGTATCATCACCTAAAACGAATCGTGTTCGGAATTAGAGGTCCTACTGTATACATCAATTTATATCTATAGCTAAAGTTGACCTACTCTGCGTGTAACCAAAATCACGCTGTTATTTAATCGGCGAGAGGGATGATTCTCTGTTGATTCTGTCGCATGATTTTATCGTTTATTGATCATCGCGGTTTTTCCTCCGGTCAAGTTTACAAAGTTTTGTCTTTCGCGTTTAATTTTCCATGGTTGGAAAATCGAGTACCTGGAAACTGGATTAAAATAAATTGAAAAAACGTGCATTTTTCAGGTGTACTTGGTGCAACAGTGCATTGGCCTCAAAGCGCGCGCGATTTTTTTTATTATTATTTCGGGGGATTAAAGCGTGCGTTCGGAAACTGTGTCGCAGAGATCAATACCACTTTTGGAAAGGGGGAAACGCCCCGAAAGCCAGCAGGATCCCCAACGCTGCCAAATACCCCCCACAATTTTGGTCGATCTCAGACCTGAAAGTTTGCCCCAGAAGCCGAACAATGTTGGGGTGGTCAAACGACAGAAGTGAATTACGCGAGGACACATTCGTCCCATTCTTACATCAACTTTTGTCCCTTCATTATTCAGTTATTTTATTTTTTTGTATTTTTGCTTATTTTCATCTTCTTTCTTTGCTTTCAGCATGTCTTTTTCTGTTCCATCTATGTCTGTGTGCTGATGTGTGTATATGTGCATGAACCCAGTGTGCTTTCTATTTTATTTCGTCGTAGGGTCGATGGATCGATGGACGAGTGCGCCGCCGCCTCCGAGACGGCTGCCGGTCACCGGTTCAGTCAGTTTCTAGTTTCAGTCGAGTGTAGTTCGTATACAAATTTTTTTGAGTTTACACCGATGGATGCACACTGAGTAGTTGTTCTGAACCGGACGTGGCCGCATAAGAGATTTAAGGGCCGTATCAACTTCGCAAGTTAAAATCGCAGGATAAGAGAGATTCGAGTGTCGTCCTCCTCAAGGGCTCTGTCCACTCTCGTCCTGTCCTCGATTCTGGTCTCCAGCAATTCCCTCCGTTCCCCGTCACCGCCCGACTTATTATTAAATCCCGATGTGAGTCTAAGCACAATTCTTGGGGCCAAAACGAACACAGCACAAACTCGCTCTTTTTATCCCTCTCTCCTTCCAACCACAATCAGAACCTTGTCCTCCGTTGAGCCGACCGAGGGGGGAGATGCTGCGACGCTCCTCTTCCTGTCTGTCGTCGCTGAAGAATGAACAAAACTGACTCTCGTCTAGAATCCACTCCGGTTACGCAATAATACAAAAGGTAAAGACAAAGCGCTAAATTTTGTAAAGCAAAATAAAACAAGAAAGAAAGTAATTACCATAATTCCTTATGGTCGTAGAGAAATGCGTTTCTGGCTCACGGCCAGCCGATGCATTTAAAATAATTGTTCAGAATTGATGAGTATGTGTGTGTGTGCATGCGAGCGTGTATATTTTACATCCTTTTCTCTCTCTTTATTTTACTCTCTGCGTGTGTATTTGCGTTCGTGCGTGTGTATGTATGTGTATTTATTTGAATTTCCCGTTTTCGAAACAAATCGATTCGAGGCGGAAATCGCGTAACATACTGCACACTGCCATCGTTTGATCTGTTGCAGAGAACACGCAAACACGGTTCTCTATTACTATTTTGTTTTCATCGATCAGTCGTTTATTCTTAATTCCTCAAGAAAAAAAATAACCCGGCGCATCCACTGTAAATTCATCGATTTGTCAAAAAAAATCATTTGCTTTACATGCAACGTCGTGGCTGCGTCTTAATATAATTAAAAAATGCACAGATGGAAAAGGGCAATTAGCTAATGCATTTCGCCTTCCTCAACATAAGCATTTCGCGCCGTTTGATTGATGGCTTTGCGCCACGCTTTTCCACGTCTTTTCCACTGAATTATTGCTCTCTGTCTTTCCCTGAATTTTTGTAGTAGTTAACTTATCCGATTGTTTCTTGGTGGACGAACGTTTCGTTTGAAATTTGACTCTTTATATCAGTGTTGTTAATTCAGTGGGAATAGTGTCCAAGTGCGAACTGAACTAAGATATTAATTAAATAGAAAAACGATATAATAATAGTGTGTGAGTGTGTGTGGCAAATTAAGTGCGGAGAATTGAGAGGAACACTGCAAAAACTGTTTTTGGGGCATTTCCAGGATCAACGAAAATGCACGGATCGGCGGGACTGCACTCGGCGATGGCCATCAAGAGGCAACGCAGGCTGAGGGAGCAAGCCAAGAAGAAGGCGCTGGAGCAGCGAGAGCGTAGACTTTCGTCGAGGACCAGCAGTTTGGACAGCGTTGAGCAGCAGCATCCGAAGAAGGTTCTCCACGCGGCGCCGCCCGATCACAAGCTGGCCACCTCCATCGGAATGCTGCACATCGGCGTGTGCTTTTTGGTGTTCGGGATGTTCCTCATTGGATCCGGTCTGCTGCCTGATGACATGGTGACCTGGCGCGGCGGAGGATGGTGGAACGAGCTCGTTGCTACCGGTCTCTTCGTCATCGCGCTGGGCGTCTTCCTGATCTCTCTGAATCGCGTGATGAGCAAGCGCGAGGAGGACAATCTGAACGACTACGTTCAGCGGCAGCTCACACGCTCCAGAAGCGGTCATCGGTTGGAGCGAGATCTCGAAACTGGTTGTCTGGCCACCAAAAACACTCGCAGGATATTAGAGAAGAAGCGCGAAGACAAGGAACGCGGCTTCGAAGAGATCCTGCCCATCGTGCATTCCCCAAAGATCGTCCAGAACGGTGATCTACCTCTGGAGAAGATTCTCGAGGAGGACGTCGAGATCAGGCACGACGGTGTCCGTGAGACGATGTCCACGACCACCACGGCGAGCCTCAGCCCTGGGACACCTTCTGAAACCAGAGAGCTTATCTCCAACGGGAAACATTCCTGTCTCGCCAAACCCTACTAATAAATTCCTTTCCTTTCTTTTTCTAAAGCAGTAAGAGTAAGTTTTTTGCATATCGCGTTTTTCTACTAACCTCTGGGACCCAGAGACGATTACCGGGTAAGAATCTTTTGTATTCTTCGGAAATTCGTAGGCTAGTATGTCGAAGCATCTAGGCTTCCTCTTAAAAGCACGGATTTAAATGATATTATATTTAAAACAAAATTAATGAAATTACGAAAACGTCTTTCTAATATTTAATCTTTAAAATTCTAAAACAACGTTGTTATTTCGTTCTGGGCCAAGCGCACGCACGCCTACAACAAACTTTCAAAATTCTACTCATTCGTTTATTACTTAGCTATCTAAGAACTTTTATTCCATAAAGCAAACATGTCAAAATTTGATCCATCATACACGAAAGTTTCCACAACATTTGTATGATCCCAAAATAATGTGACCTAAATACTTGAACATTTTACAAATACATGTAATACACTATAATTAAAAATAAAGTAATCAATATACTGTGGAACCCCGATCTTCAATCACAATTCATTCCAGTAGACGGTTCGTTATCAATTTTGAGTTTCCCAATAAATAAATTATAAAATATATACAAAATATGACTCCGTTCTTTCATATAGAATTCATTACTTAAAGATTGAGACCATGCTTTGTTCAACTTTCGAGTCTGAAAACTAGATTTTTCTTGACTTTTCTCTTAGATTTTAAAGTTGTTCGAAGTTTGACATGATTGATTTATGGAGAAAAATTAATTAAAAATATATTTAAGTTGTTACATATCCGGTACTTCAAATCTACAACTATTATTATAATCTAAAAAAATATCTTGTCAGAAAAAATAACTGACAGATAAAGTGTCAACAAAGTAATGCTCGAAACTAATAGTTAACTTATTACACGAGGTGCCGGTGCTAATTGTATTTAGTTATTCCAAACGTGATAATTAGGGAATTTTATTTTGGCCCTGATAAATAAAATATATTGATTGTATAAGGTGAGATTCCAGTATACGTCCCAAAACGATTTTGAATAAGTAATTATACGATTTATTTATTTAAAAAAATCGAGGCAATTCGTTCTTCAAACAATAACACCGTGTATTGTGTATTGGTTCCATCGAATTTCGTTCCCATTTACTCAGCGTTTATAACGGAACAGCGAATACGATTCTAATCGATAAATTTGATTACATTGAAATGCACAAATACCGCAGATATTAAATATCTAGTCCGCAAATAATCCATCACAATGTGTTAATTAATACACGCTAATACTTGAATGGAGATTCTTTGATATGTAAAAGATTATATAAAAACGTAGTTTCCATCTGCTAATTATCAACGTAATTTTATTACCTACTATTTTCGTGTTTGAGGACTATTAACGTAGGTGATTATCATGGAAAGCAGATATCCAGATACGCACGGAACATTCCAGTTAAAATTATTTGTTTCACAGTACTCGTACTTCATATGAATGATAAAATATTATTAATTAATTGTGTGCTTTCATATTTCTTTTCAAATAGTTGGACCAGTGTTTCTCAACCTATGGGCCACGACACAATTTTGGGGTGCGTGCGTTAAATTTTGAATGACAATGAAAGCTGTCGCCTTATGTCAAATTGAGGTTCTGATGATATACTTTTAGAAATTAGACAAATATGTCGGTTAAGAAATACTGATTTAGATTATTGGAAGTAATTTCCATACAATTTTACTTAGAGAAAAAAAAATAGTTTTTTGTAATGTTTTCCATGTATATTTAACATTGCATAGTGACAACAATTATTTAAGTTGGCAAGGGGAGAAAATAACAAACAGCTAATGTCAAATATTTAAAAAAATAACTTAGATTGTTTCACATTATGTTGAGTGAAGTAAAATAATATAATTATTGTTCAATTGAATATATATTGAATAATGCGTCAAAATTCATGCGAAATTTTACTCCTGAAGTAAATAGATTATAATGATAAAATCCAGTTATAAAATAAATGTATGGTTGCATAAATGTCACGTGAAGCATTAATCGGTTCGTTTTGACGTTGATTCATATTGAAAACGTGCGCTTATGTAATTGAAATTATCGATAAACACTCGTATTGCCCAGGCAACGAACTTTAAAACGTAACGAACAGCCGCCAAATATGTCAAACACGTTTGCCAACGATTCAATTTACATCTTCGATGACGTAAACTTAATTAGTATAGCGTCGTTGCGTGCAGACCACAAATTAAGTCTTTCGCCGCTTTTCGTAATGCAATGAAGAACGTTTATAAGATCAACAAGAAAAAACGAATTTAATTGCCGGAGCGTACACTGGAATTGCATCGAAAAAACTTTTGAAAATTTGAAAGAATAGTCGAGAAATAAAAGATTATTCTGAGAGCAACTAATGTGATATTAAAGTTTAGTGAGATTTGCGTTTGTTTGACGATTCGACTAGTCGTAAGAAACTGTTCGATATGCTTGTTTCTTATGTATTCATTTCTAATATTAGAAATGCATTAAAAAATTGTTTTTGTTATGTTTGCTGGCGTGCGTTTCGGAAGCTTCCGGAACAATTGCACTGTGATTATATCCACCTAAGTTCAAGCACATTCATGTACTCAAAACAAAAAGTTATAAATATTACGTTACAAGTATTCATATACTCGTTTATATACAAAAAAAATCTATCGATATATAAATATATACAAAAAAATATATATCCTTCCCTTAATCCTCGTCTCTTTCTAACTATATTTATAATAATATTTATACATAACACTTATTATATGTACGTAACAAGTATTTAAGAGAATTTATGCGATTCTATAAATTGCATCGATCGATATTTAATCTGTGCAGTTCTTAGCTTACCTTGCATATTTTTTTTCTTCTTCACAATACGCGGACAATCAAATAGAAGGAAAAGGAAAATCAACGGAGCGACGCGACGTCGGATTTAGTTCATACGTCGCAGTAAATTCACGAAGAAAAGGCTGATTATCCTGTTTCCCCGCCACCCCCCATCCATTCAAAGCAAGTAAAACGTAAACCCTATATTCTTACGTAGAGAAAGAGAATGAGATTTCCTAAACCAAAAAAGAAAAAACAAAGAGTAAATAAACCGTCTTTTCTACAAGTTTGTAACGATTTTAAAAAAATGAAACGTTATTATTAATATTTAAAAGTAACACACGTTTGGATGTTTCTTCAGTTATTCATTTCTCACTTTGGATGTCTAGGATATTTCACGTGTATTATATATTGTATTCACACTTTCGATACTTTTTTCGGGCGCGTTTTTTCGAAATTCGCGTGGTAACAATATAACGAAAGGGAGAATGAGATCCGCCTGCCGCCGCGCCTACCCGCATAGCGTTAAACGTTTATTATATAATATGTACGGGGTTGGGCATATTCAAGTTCACTGTTTACGAACTTCGCGTTACCAAGTTGCGTTTATTGTATTGTGAATTTTGCGGACGCGATTGCTTTCAATGTTCACAACATTGCAAGTAATTGTCATGCATTTTATGTATCGTGTAATTTTGCAGATTACTTTCAATGTTCTGTAACGTTGCAAGTAATTGTTGTGCAATTTGGACGTGATTGTAACAGATTTTTGAAGACGTTTCACTCGAATATTTGTACTTGCGTCTGAATACCGCAACATTCTTTTTTTGTCCTACAATCAATCGATTGTATTGGTAAATTTTTATAAAGCAAAAGTGGCTTTCAGCGAATCGCAAGTTTTTTTTCTTACTTTTGTATATATCCAAAAGGACTTATTTACTTATCTATATTATATGATGATGAAGATGATGATATTCAATAAACGTACCAAAAAATATACCAATTGTGTTTACTTTCATTCCTTTAATTTATATCCAAATATACATAAATTAATAATTAACCATACCATAATGAATTTAATTGCTCTTAATATCTTGTAACTGTAAAGTATTGATAACATAATTTTATTATATAAAGCCATTATGTAACTGTAACTCAACCATTACTGAATTGATTCCAAACAAAACTCTAAGGCTAATCACCCGCGCCTTATGGTATTTAACAAAAGAAGTAATCCAAAGCCAGCACAATTTACCACCTCCGACTGAAAATCCGTTCGTTGACGCCTGGACGGTGAATAGATAGGTGCGAGTGGATATTTTGAAAACGATAGTTGTAGTATATAGTTGTGGTTACATTTTAGTGTAAAGTTTATTTAATTTTGCTATTTAGTTTGTGATATTGTGTAGACTGTAATGGAAAACAGAAACAAGAATTTTCGGCATATCAGTATATTATTAACCGCTTTACTTAAAAGCACGAGATGTGGCCACACGTGAGCACGACAACGCTACTTACATAAACGCTACACTATTATTGTTTGACACTTCTAGTTGCAAGTACTGTGTAAAAGATATTATATTCTAGTTCTGAAGAATGGAGAAGTTGTTGCATTTTAGAGGGGAAAAGTTACAACAATGAGATAGAAGGTCAAGCATGATGTTTGCATTTTGAGCACTATCTACATTGCAGAAATGACAAGTGTAACTAGAAGGGTCAAACAAATAACAAAACCAGTAGTTATTATATCATATAGTGACACAATGGGAGAAGTGATAAAGTTGACTAGCATATAGTAAATAACCCAGCGACACGGAAAAGGGAACAAATATTACAAGAAAATATTTTTTCATCTACTCGAATTGGCACTCTGGAATGCATTCATCTAGTTACCGGAAATCTAGAGGAACGAAGAATTCTCTTGATTTTCGTGTGGCAGTTATTGAGGAGACGACAGTTCTATATCACAAGGAAGAATTATCTTCAAAAGTAGCTGGTCGTTCATCTTCAAGCACCAATCCTAGTTGTCTAACTGGCCGACATTTCCCATCTGTTATTCCGGCTACTACAAAGAAGCAGGAAGAAATCACGATATGTACGAAGATTGTGATATCGCTCTGTGTATCATTTCATGCTTCAGAGACTTTCATACAGCGACGAACATATGAAGATTGTAAATACGAGTATACTCAGGATATTAATATAACGTCTTAATTACTCCTTAAATTAATGAATTATTAAAATTACAGTTTGCAACAATCTATATTCATAATAAATGTTGAAATTCAGCAATAAAAAAAAATAGTAAAATTTGGACAATCTTTTACAACAGAATTCTTAAGTTAAGCTGTTTAAAAAATAAACTAACCGACGTAACAATCCAATGCCAAACCGTTAATAGTTAAGTACATTTATACAAGGTTGGTCATTTGTCCAATTATTCAACTCAACGTCCAGATAATCAATTAATCTTGTTATTATAAGATTGATAAATGTATAAAAAAAATATATCTTATAAAAATAATGTAAATAATAGATTCTCAAAAATGTAATAACAAATATTTCTCACTGAATAATGGTTAATCCTTTGACATACTTAAGATATAAGACATGCCATGTCTGAAGATTATTTTTGAATTTCCAGTTTATTGCAAGGTATAAATAATAATTATTAAAGTTTTAAAGAAAAAATAATAATTGTACGTGTGGAAGGTAATTCAAATAAAAGTACATTATACAATAAATATGTGTATATTCGTAAAACCTTTATGCAGCAATGATGAATTCA